TTGGTTGTTCTCCGTTCGCTGCTTGACCCTCCGTGTGAATTTTGGCTCAGCTTGACGGCAGTTAGTGTTGTGTTTCGTGCCCACGGTAGAGGATGCTGGTAATTTTGCTCCCTCTTCCGGATGTTTCGTCACAGGGCCGTCTTCTTTTGCAGATCCTAAGTTCGGTTTGACCTTGTCATGTCCTTTACTCGCGTTATGGCGTAGGACTTTGTAGGCCTCGGAAAGATCCAGATGCCTGTTGACGGAGTTTGCGTCTGAGATCCATGCCTCAAGCGTCAGTCTTTCCCCGTTTGAGGTTCATCGGCCTACAGTGGTCGCTCCTTGCATATCAAAGTTTTGGCCGGTCTCTCCGATATGTGTTGCAAGCGGTGAGTTGGGGTCTAGTCTTCGGTCCGCCACTTTGCGTTCGTTTAGACTGGTTTCAGATTTGCGTCCCGTTTCTCCAACGTAATTGCAGTCTCCATCGTCGCAACGTATTTTGTAGACAACTGCGGAGGTTTCAGTAGGGGACAGTCTGTCTTTCGGTTGCATCGCACGACCGTCTATTGTCGCCTGCGGTCGATGGGCTATGCCACCTTTCACACCCCCCCTCTATCTGGATGATTGAACGAGTTGGCTTTGCAACCGTCAAATGAGAAGGAAGTGGGTGAGGTATTTCAAACAAGCAAACGATTTAGAATTTATTGAATCGAAAAATTGCTCGGCTGCTCATCGGCTGCTACATAACATCGGTAAAGAAGGAGGTAATGCAACAATTTGAATTAATGCAGAAAAATATCAATGCAAAACAGCAAGGCATTTTCGTGTAGTTTAGTCAATATAATTCGCAACTTAGAACACTAGGATGGAAAGCATAATTGGGGAAATGTCTTGAAGCAAGAAAGGAAGGAGAGGAGAAAATATGTAAATCTGGGAGCTGGAGGTTAACAAGGCAAATCTAGCTTCAGCATGGGCTCCAACTGTTTACTTAGGTCGGGTTTCACCCGCCGTATATAGGCCGTTTCCAGGTAGCGCAATGTGCGAGTTGTTTGTGCCAGAACAAACTTTTGCATTTATGTTTTGCAGCGACAAGCTACAGCTGATTAGCAATCTTTTGGATCCAATAAATTCTGCATTGTTTGCTTGTTTCAACATTTCTGGGTGAAGTTTGTTTCATAGAATGCGATCTGCAAAAATCCTGCGCACCACGCAGTGTCGCCTCTCTATGCTATCACCTGGTTACGGAACAGAAATCCTCTGATGCGAATATAAACTAAAAGTAATCCTAGGACGCTTAAGAAGTCCGCGCGGGGGGTGCAATGTGGATGAACTGATCGTACCTTTGTGATGAGAAGACATGCGTACTTCTGCGAAGTGAGCGCAATGAGCCTGAAACCGGACCGTCATCATAGTTTATTTTTGAAAATTAAGCCAGGAAAACCTACGAGGGAGCCGTGAAGTGTAGGTGGGAGAATGCAGGCACCAATAAATTACTAGGTTAATTTCAAGCATTTACGTGGAAAAATAATTGTTAATTGTAACACGCGGGTTTAAGAATCTTG